CCATTTCTGATGAAGGGTCTAGGCCAGAAACGTCAGCCTTCCTGCTCCTATGATGCTGCTTGGCCTGCTGTATTCATCCAGCTCTACACCTTGTTATCTCTGGTAAGGTAATAGAGATGTGAAGCCAAGCATTACAGAGGTACAAAGTTGAAAAGGGATAATGTCCAGTTCAAAAGGAACATGAAAGGAATATAACCGTTTTTGTGTGTCCTTGAGGTATATGGCTTTAACCTCAATCCACAATTGTTTAATTGATGTGCTACATCTCCAGCAGTAATAAGTATTTCCTTTGTTCCTCAAGTCTTCAGTGACCTGATGTTTCTTGACAGCCTGAGAGAGCACTTCTTCCAGCTGGGTTTGAGTCGCAAATCCTTTTTTCTTGCTGCAACAAAACAGCTTGTTTGTGTATTGCAATATCTGAGTTCCTTATTTCAAAGCTTGATGATGTTAACAACGTCTTTCACTTCCAATATGCAAAACTTATCAGGCAGGTGTAAATCCAAATAGGTGATGAAGGGTTTTTCATACTGGACAGAGTTTCAGAGCCTTTTGATAAAATGTTTATTTCAGCACAGTCAGTCTTTGTTTCTCACATTGCTTTCATGGCTTAGCTGATCTGTGGTCAGGGGTTTGTTGTGACCATTTTAAGTCAGTAGGTTTTCCTTCTTTTAAAACAATTTTCAGAATCACAGAATTTGTTATGGTGCCATTCAGCCCATCGTGCCTGCACTGGTTCTATTACCTAGTGCCAATCTCTTGCCTTTTCCCCATATCCTACATACCATTTCAATCCAAATAATCATCAAATGCTCTCTTGAATGCTTCAAATGAACTTGCCTACACCATATCTCCAGGCAACGTGATCCATACCTTAACTACTCGCTGCGTGAAAATGTTTTTTTCTCACATCACACTTACTTCTTTTGTACATTACTTTAAAAGTCCATGACATTTTGTTCATGAGAATCCCAGATTTTAAAACCAAATGATGGAATTTTAAAATCAACAGATTACTCATTATCACAATCATAAAACAATTTTTGTCATCTATTTGTGATTTCTTTTGGATTTTGGACAGAACTCCATCTCTCGGTGCCTAACTTTAAAATCTTTAAAGGACAGCACCTCTAGCTTTTTGTAAGTTTCTCATACTGTCCTATGAACATTATAACATCAAATATGGACATCTTATCTAGTTAGTATTTCAGATCTAAATAGACCTTTGAAAATAGCTTTGAAGGAGCAATTAATTTTCCCCACACCAATTCTTTCCCCAGCCTGTGGTAACTATATCAGACTCAAAGAACTCAGTTTTGTTCTGATAAGTTAGTAAGGAACAAATCAGCTTGGCTCTTTTCAAACTCTCTGTTGGTTGCAACAAAGATTTAAGTACTTTTTAGCATGTGGTTGTATTTTCCCTGATTAAATGTAGTTACCTACTTTCACAAGAAAAAATGAGAGCCAATTACAAGGTTTTCTGAGTGAAAGACAGAGCAAATTTATTACCTGCTAACCCTGAGAAAAATAAGAATGATGAAATATCAAGCATATCTGTGAAATCACATGGACACTCTCTCTCACATACTCAAATGTAAAGCTAAAGCGATTGGTGTCCAATGTCAAAAAACGTAAACAAAAATGCAGTTTAAAGTCATTAGAATTTTGTTGAGTTTCAAGAAATTAAACTGAAATCAGTTGGTTGGTGTTTTGAACCATCAGCATTAGTGAATATTGCAATCATTCTTGATGTCAAGAATTTTCTTTTTAGTTGGTATTGTCCATAAGACCATATTGTCCATAAGAAATAGGAACAGGAACTGGCCATTCTGCCTCTTGAGCCTGCTGTGCCATTCAGTAGGATCATGGCTGATCCAACATTACTCTATCACTTTACTGTATTTTCCGTGTAACCTTTGATTCCCCAAGTGAACAAGAATCTATCTGTCTCAGCTTCAAATGTACTCAAGGTTTCTGCCCCCACAGCTCTCTGGGAAAAGGAGTTCCAAAGGCTCACAACCCTCTGAAAGGGGAAATTCCTCCTCATCTTAGTCTGAATTGTTGCCCTTCTATTCTAAGAGCAAGCCTTTGGTCCCAGACTCTCCCATGAGGGGAAACACCCTCTCACCATTTACCCTGTAAAGACCCTTAAGAATTCTATATGTTTCAATGAGATCACCTCTCATTCTTCTAAAGTCCAATGAGTAGAATCCCAACCTATTTAACCTTTGGTCATAAGACAATCAATCCTTCCGTATGAGGGATCACACCCATGAACCTTCTCTGAACTACTTCCAGCGAAGTGATATCTTCCCTTAAATAAGAGGATCAAAATTGTTCACAGAACTCCAGATGTGGTCTCACCAACACCTAGTACAATTGCAGTAAGAATTCCCTACTCTCATACTCCAAGCCTCTTCATAAAAAAGGCAAACAGTCCATTTGCCTTCCTGATTACCTGCTGCACCTATTTGCTAGCTTTGTGTTTTATGCACAAGTACCCCTTCGCACAAATCCCTTTGTGTTGCAGGTTTCTGCAGTTTTTCTGCATTTAAATAATACCCTTTTATTTTTTTCTCCCTTCCAAAATGAACACTTTACATTTTCCCACATTATACTCCATTTACTAACTTTTTGACCATTTATGTAACCTATCAACGTCTCTCTACAAAATGTTTGTATTCCTCTCATAACTTGCCTTTCCACCTACTTTTGTGTTGCCTGCAAATTTGTTTTCAGTACAATTGCTTTCTTCCTTCAAGTCATTAATACATATTGTAAACAGTGTGGTCCCAAGACTGATCTCTGTGGAACCGCACTGACTACAGATCGCCAACCTGAAGAAGAACTGCTTGTACCCAACTAAATAAAAACGGAAAGAACTGTGAATGCTGTAAATCAGGAACAAAAACAAAGTTGCTGGAAAAGCTCAGCAGGTCTGGTAGCATCTGTGAAGGAAGAAACAGGATTGTGTTTCGGGTCCGGTAACCCTTCCTCAGAACTGCCAGACCTGCTGAGCTTTTCCAGCAACTTTGTTTTTGTGCTTGTACCCACTTGCTATTTCCTGCCCATTAGCCAAATCTCTGTCCATGGCAATATACTAACTCCAACACCATGGGCACTTATGACTTAACCTTTTGTGAGGCACCTTGTCGAACGCCTTGAAAATCCAAATACAACACAACTACTGGTTCCTATTTATCCACTCTGGTTGAGACTTCCTCAAAAAACTCAAATAAATTAGTCAGACATTATTTTCCTTTCGTGAAGTGATGCTGACTCTGCTTGATTAGATTATGGTTTTCCAAATGTGCTGCTATGACTTCCTTAATAATTGACACCCAGCAATCTTTCTTCTTGAGAGAAGCAGAATTATCAGCCTGTGTTCAATCTGCATCCCCAGCAGATTAATCTACCTCTCTGCCAAAAGCAGCTCCTTGAAAATCAACTTGTTTGTCTATTTCACATCTGTAGCAGTTGATCTTGAATCCCCAAGATGTGAATATTCTCATATAGTTGTAAATCAAAATAAAAGATAGGGCCTTTCCATACCTACCCAGGCGGACTTGTGGCCGCTGTCATTTTCTTTTGATAAAATGTTGATTTCAGCTCATCTGTCCACATTGATTTTGATTTGATTTATTGCATTCACATATATCTAAGTACAGTGGAAAGCTTTGATTTGCGAGCAGTACAGGCAAATCATAGCAAACAGGGACATACAGATCATTGAATGCTTAGACAGAGCGAGGTATGCAAGGTTACGTCTGCACAGGAGGTGCACAAAGTAAGATCAACATTAGCGAGATTGTTCAAAGTTAGAAAGGTCTGTTCAGCAGTCTAATAACAGCAAGAAGCTGTTCTTGAACCTGTTGGTGCATGTGTTCAAGGTTCTGTATCTTCTGCCTGACGGAAGAGGTTGGAAGAGAGCATTACTTGGGTGGAAGAGGTCTCTGATGAAGTTGGCAACCTTTCTGTGGCAACAATAAGTGTAAATGGAATCTGTGGATGGAAGGTTTGAGCTGTGCACACAACTTTCTGTAGTTTCTTATGGTCCTGGGCAGAGGAGTTGCCATACCAGGCCATTATGCACCCAGATAAAGTGCTTTCTGCAGTTTATCTGTAAAGGTTGGTGCAGGCCCTTATGGACATGCCAAACTTCCTAAGCCGCTGAGGAAGAAGAGGTGTTGTTGTGCCTTGTTGACCATCGCATCTACGTGGGATTTCCAGGTCAGATTGTCGGTTTTCTGAAATCATAAAAGAAAGTAGGCGCAGGAGCAAGCCTGCTCCAAACTGGGCACTATATGGCCAGGTGGCACATGTGACCATTTTAAATCGATGTTTTTGGTCCCTTTTAAAATCCATTTCAGTCCATGAAAGTTGCAGGTATTAATTCAAATGATAGAATTTAAAAACAATAAATGGTGTGTATTTTATATCTTCATTACAACTTTCCATGCTTCTTTACTGTAAAGGTTTAAAGTCCTGATAAATCTAAAGTTTTTGGTTGTGTATTGACAGGCAGAATGATTAACCTGAAAGAACTGAATGTTAGTTTCAATAAGCTGACATACGTTCCACTGGAACTTGGATGCTGTGAAAATCTGGAGAAACTGAATATATCAAATAATCTGGAATTGACAGAGCTCCCATTTGAGGTAATATCTTTGGCTTATATAGCTAAGATCTTTGTGATATGTATGATCTAAGTCAAGCCGTTCCATAAAATCATGAGTTGTGTTTGTATATACAAAATTGCTCTTTGGTCCAGTCATTCGATTGATGCATTTTAAAGTGGTTACATTTTGAGTTGTAATATTTCATTATGGTACTGCTGCATGGATGATCAAACTCTGATTTCTGGTGTATTCTTAAAAAACAAGGACTTGAAGGTTGGTAATTCTATATCATCACACTATTTTCAATTATTGTGTAATCTTCTAATGATTAATTTGGAAGCCCTTTGAAGGACCATTTAATTAACTAAGCAGACGCACATTTGAAGAATAATTTTAAAATATTAACGAAGACATTTTAGTTACAAGTTTAATCTTTATCCTTGCAAATATACATCACACCTCCATTCTCCTTTTCCTATCCAAGATCCTTAATGCATCCATGTTGCATGCACTCTCTTAAATCTGTTCTCACCTCTGTTGCTAGTGTATATATTAGCTGTTGCAATCACGTTTCTGTCCTTGTCACAGCACTGTAACAGCCTTTACAAAGTGACAAAAAGCATATGTGATTGGGATTATGATAGAGTATTCATCCTCATCCTTCGAAGAGCCTGCAATATTTGACTTGGTCTGTCATCAAGCTGGGTGGGACTGTCTTCTCTAGCTTTATTGCTATCTATTCATAGATAACATGAGAATCATCTGCAATGGCTACTTTTTCCATTTCTGCAGTTTCCCTCTGGTATTTCTTACTTAGTCTTCTCTTAATTTGTAGCTACTTTCTGGTTCTTGACAACATCATCAATTACTCATCATATACCATACATTTGCAGGCAACATACAATTCTACCTTAACATGACTCATCTTAATACCTTCATTGACTTGATTTGTCATATTGCTTGTCTGACACTCAGTCTAGGATGAGCAGAAATTTTCTTCAACTAAATATTGCGATGACTAAAGTCTTTGATCTCCACCACAAATTCTAGTTCTTAATTCTTCATTTCTCCCCCTCATACCTGCCTGAGGCTGAAACACCAGTTCATGAGCTTGGAATTCTAATTGACCTGAGATGAGTCACCAAACACATATCAACTCTATCATCAAAACCCGCAATATGTCTGTCATATTGTCTGTTTTTGCCTTGCCTCAGCATACCTGCTTATTAACCCTTTGTTACCTCTGGAACTGACTATTCTGGGTTAGTCTTCTATCTTCCATGTTCATAAGTTTGAGCTAATTCAAAATTCTGTTCCTCTGTCCTACTTGCACCCATCAACCATCACTCTGTAAATAAAAAAAAAATGAAAGAACTGAGGATGCTGTAAATCAGAAGCCAAAACAGAAGTTGCTGAAAAGCTCAGTAGGGCTGGCAGCATCTGTGAAGGGAAATCAGAGTTAATATTTTGAGTCTGGTGACCCTTCCTCAGAACTCATAACTCTGAGCTCATTGACCTACTTGGCTCCTGATCTGACAACCTCTAAGTTATCATTCTTGGTTTCAAGTCTCTCCTTATCTTTTGTCCTCCCTACCACTAACCTTCTCCATCCTCCAGTCCTCGGAGTTCTCTACGCTTCTTCAGTTCTGTGTTCTTGGGCATTATAGCTCCAGCTGTAGCTTGCTGTTGGATAATGCTCCTACGAAATGCTTTGGTGTGCTTTTTAAAGCAATTTGTTCTCTATATTTCATTAGAGATCTGGACGTATCAGTGTAAGACTGATAAATAGTTTCCTGCAGAGGGCAGCTGTCTACTTGTTCCAGATTAACTTTGGGCTAACAGCATACCTCATGCTTCAAAATTGTTTTCCACAAAGAATGTTGACTATTCGATACATTGTTTAAAAATGTATGGGACCAGTGTTCAAGTCTGTTATGACCTGTGATTATATGATACACGAATTAATGAACAAGACAAAAATGATAAAGCACCTTTCCAGTGGACCTCGGGGTATGCACAAGAAGCTCCCAACTGAAACAAATTGGAGCAAATTCAAGTATTAAATACCGGTAGGCCTGTCAGGCAAATAATTTTTTGACATTCATACTTGCAGGATGCTCATGCACTGTTAATCGTATTCTTAAAAGCAATAGCAGTGACCTTTGTTACTACCTGGTGTCTGGTGAATTGAGGGAGCAATTATAAAATATAAAACCTGGATGATTTTTATAATGTTGGTTCCAAAGTAATGAGAATCAAGGGGGATTTTACAATAAGCAGGCATTCTGATCCATCAGATGACCACGCAAGCGGTGAAGGTGAAAATCCATGCTGGTATGCCATTGTTCATCTGACACTGTATGTATATCAGCATAGCCTAATTGGTCACATTCCAAATACATTTGCAGAACATGAAACATCGACATGGCACCCATAATGCAGGGAACATAAACTTGTGTCTCTACTGCAGAGGAACTTTGAAGCTATTGCGTGATATGAGCCTGGGTTTACCCCAAAAACAATGGAATTCTGCAACTCTCCATTTCTTTCCTAGACATGCTGTAATGCTGATTTGATCTACTCTAAGCTTCACTTCCTAGATCTCCATGGTGACAGCATTGTTCTCTTTCTTTAGGTGTGTCTCTGGAATTTGTACCAGGGCTAAGAAATCTACGCTTGGCCAGCACCTCTCAGCATCCAACTGCATTCACTCCTACCCTTGTAAACACCAGCTAAAGTTCATCCACACTGAGGAACTTAAAGTGAGGTAGAGGTGGGTGCACCAGGTGATGCACATTTGAACAGGAACAGGTGGTAGTGCTGAAAAAGAAAATGAACTTGCTTTTGAAGAATCATTTTATAATTATCCTCAGCAGTTGAAGCCTAGAATCCACGTTTTAGAGAACATAGCTTTAAAATAAGATACTTTCTGGACAAAAGACATTTACAGCACCATCAGAGACTGCCCTGAAACATGTCACTGTGAGAGAGTCATGTGAAGGAATACAATCCCCACATCAGTTCTGTGTTAATAGATTGATTTGTAGAACAGCAGACCGCCAATGAGGATTGGCAAACCATTTGCAACAATAAGGTTTTGGAGTAGATCTGTTGCTCGGGTTGTGGGTGTTGAGGTTGGTTGGCTCGCCAAGCTGCTTTGTTGTTCCACAGACGTTTCATTACCGTGCTGGGTAACATCCTCAGTGTAGCCTCTGATGAAGCGTCGGTGTGTTTTCCCGCCTGGTTTTTAAACTCTGGGGTACGTTGCAATGGATTGCCTCACTTCCGGGTTTCCTCCGTAGTGGAATGTATATGGGGTCGAGTTCAATGTGTTTATTAGTAGCCTGCTTCGTGGAGTGCCATGCTTCCAGGAATTCTCATGCTTGTCTTACCCAGCATGGTAATGAAACGCCTGTGGAACAACAAACCAGCTCGGCGAGCCAACCAACCTCAATATTTGCAACAATATTCACATGACAAGGGTTCTTATACATGCTTCTGCTTTTAATTAAATCTAAGACTAACAATATAGGTGCCCTGGACTCTCCTCTGATTCCCATATGCTCAAAGATTACATTTGAAGACCTATTACTGAGTGCTTCACATTGTTCCCATCAGCTCTGCTGCCGAATGGATCAGTAGGGATTATGAGATAATTCCCAATAACAGGGCAAGGTTCGAGTAGACCAACAAGATATTGAACTCTTATTGGTAATACTTTAATTATTGTAGGCGTGAGACAAAGTGTGCAATGCTGTGTTATTTCCCCAATGCTAAGGATTTTATGATGTCATACGCTGAATCATTTAGTGAATAGCTCAGAAAAGTAGAAGATAAGCTCCTCCCCAAGAGACTTCAACTAGAATACCATACCAGACCTGATTCCTGTCAGGCTGAGACCACCTGGGATCTGGAAGTCACAAGCCTCAGTGTTACCAAAGGGAGGCAGTAGTGTGTTAAATA